TTCCAAATTGGTGTGGGATTGTTTTGTTTTGTGACTTACTCCTTTAATGTTTAGTCTTTATAAGTATTTTTTAAAAAAAAAATTTAAAGCACATTTTAATATGACAGTTATTACTTATGGTAACCAGAAATCATATATATATATACAGTGTCTGCCACATAAAAAACACCCAATAAATTGTATTTCTCAGGCTGGGACAAAGTCTAAGTGAACTTCTTGCCATTCAAATATGAGAATCTGAGTTCAGATCCCCATGCATCTATAATTCAATTGCTCCTACAAGCAATGGAAGGCAGCCGGGCGGTGGTGGCGCACGCCTTTAGTCCCAGCACTCGGGAGGCAGAGGCAGGCGGCTCTCTGTGAGTTCGAGGCCAGCCTGGTCTATGGAAAGTTGCAGAACAGTCAAGGTTATAGAGAGAAGCCCTGTCTTTTTTTTTTTTTAGTATCTATTTATTTATTATGTATATAATATTCTGTGTGCATGTCTGCAGGCCAGAAGAGGGTACCAGACCTCATTACAGATGGTTGTGAGCCACCATGTGGTTGCTGGGAATTGAACTCAGAACCTTTGGAAGAGCAGGCAATGCTCTTAACCACTGAGCCATCTCTCCAGCCCCCGAGAAGCCCTGTCTTTAAAAAAAAACCAAAGGTAGGGAAAATAGGAAAGAAATGAAACATGGGTTAATGAATAAAATACAGTTACAATATTTCATGAATACAGTGAATTTTAACAATACAACAGCATATACTTATTAGTGTTACCATTAGTTAAACATTGTTCTAAACCCTTTACATGTATTACTACACCTAATCCTCATAATAGGCCTAATAAAATTGTTATACTAAAAAAATTATACTTTTCTTGTTCGAATTTTTAGATGACAAAACTGATACACAAAGATTACATAATTTAGCCAAGATTGTAATAGAGCAAGATACTGAGCTAAAGCCTTCCTTTTTTTTATTTATGTATCTATGTGTATTGTGTATGGTGTGTCTGTGTGGTTTTGTGCACATTTAAGCATTGCCTATAGAAGCCAGAAGAGGGGATCAGATCCCCTGAAACTGGAATTACATATGGTTTTAAGACACCATGAAGATGCTAGAAACTAAATCCAGGTCCTCTAAAGAAGTCTAATCATCTATCTCCCCAGCCCCTGATCATGTTTTTTTCTTCCTTAATTCAGAAGTTTTTGCTTATACAAAAACCTGAAGCACTTTATTTGAAATGTGGACTTATGAACTATAGAACATGTCCTCTGTGGCACTGTTTATAATGTAGGAAAAGTAGAAACCATATGAATGCCCAGGAATAAGAGAATGGCTAAATAGACCATGCCAAAGCTATTCCACCATTCAAAGAAGTTGCCATACTTCCATTAAAAATATTTTTTATTAACATAAATGTCTCATGACTTGGGGCCAATGTTCTACATGTATAAGGGGAAAATGAGAACAAAAATACATAGATGTTATGATTATTAATAATTTAAAAGAATATCTCAAACACAAACTTAGAATGATTGTTCTCAAATGAAAAACAATGTTTATTTCTGAGTGGCAAGATTAGAGATTCCTGTGTTTTCATTTTAATGTTTTAAAGAAAAACACAAGTTTCTGCTAATTCAACTATACCAGTAACCTCAACTGTCTGGGACAGAAAAAAATGCTAAAAAAGATTCTGATCTGTCTAACTGCAAGTGGCTTCTTTTCTTTTGAGTCATAATCTTTGGACATCATACAAAAAGCAAGCAGATACAAAAAAAATCAACTTTGTAAACCAAATGAAAGTATTTTCAATTTTTTTAAATGATTATTTTAGGATCACAGCACAAGATGAGGAACAGACATCATACAGGCCAAAACTTCAGGATAAGAGACAAAAATAGGACTCCAGAGAAGGAATTGATGTTGAATCCAACCATTTACCCTTTCACCCTCTGTCTGCCCCATAACTGAGCAGGACCAATTATTTCCTTGTATTATGGGATGTTTACAACCCCAGAATGCCATGAAAGGAATTAATAATTTAGCTTAGACAGCTGACAGCCTTTATTGGGAGCCTCTGGTCTACAGGACAGACATCAGAGCAAGCACTGTCTTGAAATCACAGGT